AAAATCACAAATATGAGAAAAATACAATTCATTAATTCATTTGCTGAACACATAATTATTAAGCATGAAATTTGTTCCAATTAGTATGTTGGAGATGAAAAGGTGAATAGTTTCTGTCCTCAAGATCCTTATAACTTAACGGAGAAGCCAGAATCACAAGTTAATTTTATCACACAGTGTACGGAACTCTGGTGACACAGTGCCTAAGGCATTTGACTGCTAACCAGTCACACTGTTCAAACCCACCAGCCACTTCATGGAAGGAAGATGGGGCAATCTACTTCCATAAAGATTTACTGCCTTGGAAGCCCAATGGGATCACTTTGAGTGGAATCTACTTGATGTCTGTGGGTTTGAGTTGGTTTTTGATAACAAAATGACAGCATTTTGGAACCTAAAACAACATATTCCAGGGTAATGGGTATCAGCAGAAGTATTAACCCCAACAATTAGGAATGAGTCCAGTCAGCATGAGCCAGAGCACAGACGGTGACAGGTGTCTACACTGATATTGGCCACCTGTGAATCCCACGATGCAGAGCCAGCACGTCGAGTGCCCCTCCCTCCCATATGTCCCATTTCCAAAGTAGACTTTTGCCATCTCATTTGATAAGTTTTAGCTCTTCTTCAAACCCTTAACTATATGTAATCGCAATATTTTTCTTCTTGGTCTTCTTTTCCCTTTTTTCATTATTTCTTTCGGTGACTCCTCCAGGTCCATGGTGGCTTCAACTCCACTTTGCCAGTGATCTCAGGGGTCTGTAAACTTGATCTGCATTTCCTACATTTACACGTTTAGTCATCCCACTAATTATCAGTGTCTCCTATAGTACATATGAATTATATTCTAGGCACATGAAATGCAGGTCTATTTTGCACAATGACCTAAGTAGATTTCAAGCCCCCCTCCTTTTCTTGAGGAGGAAAATCACATCTTCTTCATTTTTATTTCTTTCTGAGAGATTATTATGGAGTACTTTTCAGTGTTTATCCCAATAAGTTTGTACTCAATACTTCTTAAGTTTAATCCAGGTTTATTCCATGGTCTCCCCATCTGTGGAGTGAATACAGGCACATCCGTCCACTTTTTCCCTCACTTCTACATCGGCAACAGATCTGGTTGATTCTTCACATTAAATAATTTTTACATAACTTCACCTTTCTATTATAGTCTCAGTGTTTTTGGTCAGATCATCATCATTTTCTACCTGAAATATTGTGATGTTCCCTTAACTGCTTGACTGCAGGTTCCGTCCTCTTTGATCCATCTGTTATTTGATTACATAATCCATCCATGTTATTTTCTTCTTCCTGAATATTCAGCTAGACTAAATTTCCCAGCTTCCAAGTATTCAGATATGGTCATGTGGTTTAGTTCTAGCCAATCCATCAGTGTGTTCTACTTCAGGGCTTCTTCCACACTCTCTTTCACCCTTTGCCAGCTGAATGCAAATGAACGGAAGCTGAATAGGGTGAAGTCACCTGGTGGGATGAACCTTGTTTCTTCTTCTCTGTGTCCAGGATAGCCACTTGCCACTAGAAATACCCACTGGGACTGTTACATAAGGTGAAAATAAACTTTTGTTCTGTTTAAGCAATTACACATCTTGTGATCTATTTGTTACTGTAGTTCAGGGTATTCTAAGTAATTCTCTAGTTTTTCTAAATAGACCTCTGTTCAATAATTAATTCTGTGTATAATTAATTCAGCCACTAATTATCAGTGTATATATGTTGTTGTTGTTGTTGTTTGCCGTCGAGTCGGCCCTGACTCATAGCGACCCCTCCTTGGGTTTCCGAGGCAGTATCACTACGGAAGTAGGATTGCCCAACCTTCCTTCCAAGGAGTGGCTGGTGGGTTTGAACCGCCAGCCTTCTGGTGAGCAGTCAAGTGCCTTAGGCACCATGCTACCAGAGCTCCTAGTGTATATATAGTATATATGAATTACATTCTAGGCACATGAAATGCAGGTCTAATTATCTTTCTCAAAAATATGCTTCCATCAGAATTTGGTTTCTTCTCTTAAAGTGCCTTTCACCAACCTCACACAGAATTGTAATACCTCCGAGTTGAGAGGGGTCAGTCAAGCTAGAGGGCTTAGAGATTATGGTTAGCTCATATGGTGTGGAAATGTAAGACCAGAGATGGAGCTCCTAGAAGCATGGAAGATTAATCTGATATTGACAGATCTCATTCTTATTAAAACACCTAAAAATTCTAGATAAATTATAAAAGTGAAAAACAAACAAGCCAACAAAAATTTACATAACCATATCTTAAAGAAAGAAATGGAAATACCTGGGTATGAGAAATAAAGACGAAGTTCAAAGTAGGAGTTGTATGCTGTAGCTGATGCTACAGTGGCCCTTTAGGCTTTTGAATCAGGAGTTAGGCCCGAAGGGTTGGAGTCTGGCATGTTAATGTCCCTTAAGTACAGGAGACGTGGTCATAGATCCGAATGAAGCAGGGGAGCTTTATGATTTCTCTGCAGAAAGCCTTTGAAGAATTGCTCTGCTTGTGAAAAAAGCGCTGGGAGATATTTTGGTCTATAAGATATTTTGGAAAGGAAGGAACACACTGGATAGAAGTCACAGAAAGTGTGGTGTCTACAAAGAAAATCCAAGGGAATATCTAGGTAAATTAATAGAGTTCAGCAAGTTTTAATGTAAATCAACATTTTTTTTTAAAAAAAAATCAATACTGTCCCATATTGTCCTATACTTAGGTAGCAATAATTTAAGAAAATATCATTTTTAAAAGACCATCACCATTCTCAGTAAAAACACACCATATATTATAGAGTAGAATTGTAACTTCACATTTTCTTGGTTATAAACTTTACCAAAGCAAATTGCCAGGCCTTTCATTTATGCCACTGCTGGATGGGTTCAAACCACAAAAATTTAGCTTATTTGTCAATGTAAATCATTTTTGTCACCCAGGGGCCTCCATTCACAACAGCAACAGCCATTTCAACAACTCTAGATATACTTCTAAGAAGCTCTGGTGGAGCAGTGATTAAGCACTTGAGTGCTAACCAAAAAGCTTTCAACCCACCAGCCACTCAACTTGGGAACTCCTTGAGGAAGTTCTGTATTGTCCTAAAGGGTATCCCTATAAGTGGGAATAGACTTGGCAGTAACAGCCCTTGGTAGACAATTCTAACAAAAGAAATTCATGACCAGTATTAAAAAAAATTACAAAACTTACTGAAAGACAAAAATAATACCTAAATAAATGAAAGGTTTGCAAGATTAATGAATAGAAAGAGTCAGTGTAGTAAAAGTGTCAATTACCCTCTAATTTATGTATAATCTAATGCAATCCCAATCAAGATTTTCTTTAAAAGATGCAACTTAACAAACTGATACTAAAATTCCTGTAGAAGAATAGAGAGCCAAGGAGAGCTAAATGAATTTGAGAAAAAGGAGTAGGAGAGAGAAATTGCCCTACCAATTATCCAAATGACTTAGTATGGATTTAGCTGTGAAGATTCAAATAATGGAGTATGTGTAAACCAAAAAAAAAAAAAAAAAAAAAACCCAAATCTACTGTCATTGCGTCATTCTGACTCACAGCAACCCTAGAGGAAAGAGTAAAACAGGCCCATAATGTTTCCAAGGCTGTAAATCATTACAAAAGCAGACTGCCTCGTCTTTCTCCCATGCACCAGCTGGTGGGTTTGAATCGTCCACCCTTCGGTTAACACAGGAGCATGTAGACTCCTAGTGCTGGTGTAGGAAAAGACAAATAGACTTTAACAGCAGACTTGAGAGCCCAGAAACAGACCAAACATACATTAGAAATTAGAATATGACATACTCAGTTTAGACATACATGAGGAAGGGTTAGACTGACTGACTGTTGGATTATACTACCAACTCTAGAATAATGGTTATCTCTGGGGTGAGAGGGAAAAATAAGATTTTGGGAGAGAAGAAACTGTGTCTGTACTATTTATTTCTTAACACTTTTATAGCCAATATGACCAAATGTTACATTTGTTAAATCTGGATAATGAGTTTTGTTATTTTATTCTGTTTGTCTTTCAATTTATTATGATTATTTTTAAATATCAAACAAATTTAGTTTCAAAGAAATACTTCACAGGGTTAGGTGATAACTGGGTTCAGAGTTTGCCCTTGGAGCTGAGTGGCTCAAGCCCATGCTTCACTGAAAGTAGGAGATACTGTGTTGCTTTCAAAGAGGTTGAGGATAAACAGGAATTT